TGTCCTCCTCTTGGCCGCGCCCCTGAACTCTGTCAACTCTGTGGCTGGGCTCTGTCGCTGGCCCTTGTCCTCCTCTTGTCCTCCTCTTCGCCGCGCCCCTGAACTCTGTCAACTCTGTGGCTGGGGCCTTGTCCTCCTCTTGGCCGCGCCGGGCTCTGTGTCCAGGCCTTGCCCTCCTGTTGTCCTTCTCTTGGCCGCGCCCCTGAACTCTGTCAACTCTGTGGCTGGGCTGTGTGTCCAGGCCTTGTCCTCCTGAACTCTGTCAACTCTGTGGCTGGGCTCTGTGTCCAGGCCTTGTCTCCTCTTGTCCTCCTCTTGGCCGCGCCCCTGAACTCTGTCAACTCGATGGCTGGGCTCTGTGGCTGGGCTCTGTGTCCAGGCCTTGTCCTCCTCTTGTCCTCCTCTTCCAGGCCTTGCCCTTCTCTTGGCCGCGCCCCTGAACTCTCTCAACCCTGTGGCTGGGCTGTGTGGCTGGCCCCTGAACTCTGTCAACTGTGTGGCTGGGCTCTGTGTCCAGGCCTCTTGGCCCCGCCGGGCTTTGTGTCCAGGCCTTGCCCTCCTGTTGTCCTTCTCTTGGCCGCGCCCCTGAACTCTGTCAACTCTGTGGCTGGGCTGTGTGACTGGGCTCTGTGGCGCGCGCGCGCTCTAAAGAGAGAAAGACAGAGAAAGATAAACTTAAAGAGAAAAAGAGAGAGAGAGAGAGCAGGGCAAGCGCGCGCGCTCGTGTGCTATGGACGGCTTACTGGGCTCTTGTCCTCCTCTTGTCCTCTGTGCTGGGCTCTGTGGCTGGGCCTTGTCCTCTTCTTGTCCTCCTCTTGTCCTTGTCTTGGCCGGGCCCCTGAACTGTGGCTGGGCTCTGTGTCCGGGTCTTGTCCTCCTCTTGTCCTTGTCTTGGCCGCGCCCCTGAACTGTGGCTGGGCTCTGTGGCCGGCCCGGCTTACTGGAGAGGAGTGTGGCCGAACAAATAGCGATGTCAATGCCGACAAAAATTCATTGATGAAGCAGTTTGCTCTTGGGGTGAAAGTAGGGCGTACCAAGAAATCAATTTTTGACTAATATTGGTCTAAACGAATCGTGTTGAAGCTGTTTGGGGTCTATGCTTGTATAATTTACCCGACCCTGAAACCCAGCCAAGTGCGATGCCAAATGTCAACATGTCTGTCCACACGATCACCACGTGGAGTCCACGCGATCACCGGTCGTCGACTCACCATGAGAGCCGTGACATCCATCGCTCGGCTCGGCAAGGCGAAAGAAGCTCACGGTGTTGACCCTCGGCGGGACACCGGGACTGGATCATGGAAGCTCAGGCCTAGGGAGCGTCCTTGACTGTTCTTAGGCAATGTTCTTAGGGTGAATCAGCTCATGACACGAAGAACATCTAAGAAACTCTTGTCCCAGACCAGACGAATGGGACTGGAACAGTCACTTACTTTTAGGGTCAGACATGGAGCATATATAAACTATTTCCGTCCCATGGATGGTCTGGGTATGGAGTGTTCTTATCACTCTCCCTGAACGGAATGCATGGTGGGGAGATTTCCGGAGCACTTGTTTTGGCGGAAATTTGTGATGTTTGTCCCTGAGCAAAGAGTGGGTTTGGCATCGGATGCATTGAGCTGTTGACATCGGCATGAACTTGGGGGAGAACCGGCAGTGATCAATCAGTCAATCATCCCAGCATTAACCCCAAGACTGAGATAAGAAGCTTGCTATTTTGCAGCTACGGAACTGATTCTCGGGTATGATCCAAGATCCAATGTCCCAAGCATCTCTGTTGCCTTTTAGAGTTATGCCGTGAGGAACTCCACATACGTTCGCGTCGTTCGCTTCGGTCGCTTCTCGAACATGACCCGAGGTATTGGTGGCCTCTCTTGGTTTGGTGCTGTACCTTCACACTCTCCTTGGCACGAGGAACGCTTTTGGGCTTGTGCTTCTCGGCTTGGCGTGAGCTGAATGAAAAAGGAGCTGAAAAAAGGCTGCACGGAGCGTATAGTCTTGGGTCGTCTTGGGTCCCAAGATATATGTCAATATATGTAACTATATATAGATAGATAGACCCCCCGAATAGATAGAAGGTAAATCCTCACTAAAAATGTATTGGAAACTGTTTCTATCTATTTGGGTCCCATATAGAGCAAGCTTAAAACAATACTCAAACACCAGTGGGACTGTTCATACGATCAGCAAATACAAGAACTTCGAGTTTGCTCAAACCAGCCAGATGGATGGTTTGGTTTAAGGTATGTTTGGGTATCGTGCGATTGGTCTTGTTTTGGCGGCATCCTCGTCAAGCTGGAGCCTCTAAACTGAGATGGACGTTCACGGTACTGCGAGAGACCGTTGGTGCGTTGGTGCAGCTGTTGGGATCCAAGTTGCATTATTTTAGGTGGTTGGGGTCATGCAGTTCGACCATGTTGTAGACTGAAGAAAGCACAATCAGTCATGTTCCATAGTGGAAGGGGCAAAGACCGATGTTTATTCAATACTCACCGCTCGAAAAGAAACAATATGTTTATCATATCGGGATATCCATCAAATGATGCAAACAAAAACAGGGGGGGTACAAATCTTCAATGGTATATATATATATATATATAGAAAATGAACCTAGATGCTTTCAGCACCGAAACAGCAACGCCTTTAGGTTTCTTGGTGTTGCTCTTGGGTGTGACCTTCAGCAACTCCAGCTCATTGTTTGGCGCTCAGAGACCGTTCTCGGTTGGGTCATGACAGTGGAACGGTCGCGTGGGACTGGCAGCCACTGAGAAACGGCCACGGCCAGGGGTCAGTAGAATTCCGGGGGTCAATGAATCGGCATTGGAGTGGGGCTGGAATTGACGTCCATTATTATGTTTGCTGAGGGTGATTCGTTTTGTTTCTTCGATGGTCTATAATAATGAATCCCTTTTGGGAGATTGTTTGTTTGTCCATTTTTTTTTCTCAGGTTCCGTCAAAAGATCCAAGTTTCACTGGTCAGCCAGTTCTTGTTAAGCAGCAGCTCTTGTGATTCAAACATCCACTGTATGAATGCAGTGTGATGAGACAGAGAGGGCACCCATTTACAACTCGCGATGTAACGTTTGACCTACAGTAGGAACAATATTTATTTGATCATCAAACACAGCACTCCTCCCGCGATCAATCCATGACAATGACCTACAAGACGAAGTCGATTGACTCAACAACTATGACCTACATCGAAAACTATGATGGGTGTTGATACATATTGTAAATATTGATGTGCAACAGTTTGGCACTTACTTCCAGTGTTGGGCGTAAGTACTGCTGCCCCCCACATACCTGACCTATATCTACAGTGTCGTGGGCACAAGACGGCTGACAATGCAAACATATCGACTATTACTACTGGCAAGAGATCTATATAAGAGGATGGCCTGATAGTGCAGCTGCTATCAGTTCCCTGCTCAACCTTTCCTTTATACGACTTGGTGAAACAAACAAACATTAGGAAAAAAAGTCTAAGAATTTGAATCAAACGTTTTGAAATTGAGACCAGTCTATCTCAACCTGCCTAAAGAGATCGATCGCCCAGGCCGACCCGACGCCGATGGGCCACTTGGTTTGCGGGTCACCAACGCATTCGTTGTTTGGGGACCTTCGCATATTTATCGTGCCAAGTATGTTGATCAGTAGCACTAAGCCTAAGGCAGTTTTATTTAATCTGAAAGGAGGTTTTGACATGTTTGTTTGTGTCTTTCAGAACATGTTCAGGAACTTATCACTGTAAATGGACAGACGCAGGTCAGCCACGAAGATCCACAGTCACTGTTCACCGGTCAAACGGGATTCCCTGGTCAAAAGCAAGAACGGTTGCATGTATCTTTGATCCGATCCTATGACTTTGTAAATGGCGATCTGCCTCATGTTTGTTGGCGTGATTGGACTCAAATTCCATCGCTCGCCACCCCTTTGCGTCCGCAGGTTTGGCGGACGCGGCTCTTCGCACTGCTCTTTTTGCTCATTGGCTTGGCGTTCCAGTCACCCTTGCTGCCCTGCAGCCGTGCTGCGGCTGAAGAGAGCCCCGCATGTCCAACAGGATCAACGGGGCACTGGACATGCGGAGTAGGGAGTAGGGAGATTCCTCCAACTGCCTGGTAGAGTGCCTTTTATGGGTGTCCTCTTCCGGATGGTCAATTTTGGGAGTGCTCGAAAAAGACGCATGAGGAAACGAATGAGCAAGCCGGGGTCATGACCTTGGAACACTGAATTTGGATCTTCACATGAGTTCCTTTGCAATGTGCACTTGGTGGCCTTCCTCAGCCTCAGGTGCTGCATGCCAAGATGGCATACACCAGATCTACGTCACACAGGATGAGTGCGTGAAGATGGAAGGCTGGGAAAGCGGAAGCACCCGCTCTGGCTTGCAAGAAGCGGAACAGGCAGCTCTAAGACTCCTTTAATCGCAGTTAGAGTCGCTCAGCCATTTCACGGTACCAGGTACCGGCCGGGTCCAGGCACCAGAGTCCCCGGGTTGGCGTGGAGTCGGGCCCTCGCGCCGCGCCAGCTTTCGACCTCTCCTTGGTCGGCTCTGAAGCACAGAGCGCTCACTGCGGTGCCCCAGATCATGGTGCGTCCTTGGGCCATGCGCCCCGGTCGAAGATGCGAGACTGCGCGCCTTCAAGCGACTGGTGGGGGAGGTGGAAGTGCATCCTCCAAGCTGTTTTGGGGGATTTGGAGGGTCACAAACTACAACTCTCTGTGAGACGTTGGTGTGAAGGAAGATAGGGGATATATATATATATATATGGATATATAAAGGGTTGTCATTGCATGCGATTGGTCCACTGAATCGAAGATTAAGAGGATGCACAGTATAGTATATCCCCAAATATACCAGCGAAAATCTAAGTTCCATGGGTGGAAATCCACCTACAGTAATTGGTTGGACCACCCAGTCACGTGATCCGCTGCGATCCGCCGCTGAATTCAAACCCCTCCGTCTCAGGACACCTCCTGGACCCTCTTCGTTCAAATCCTGGGCGTCCGTCGAGTGAGCGGGGCACCTGGGCCACAGAAGGGTAGGGAGAAAGGCGCCGGCCACGCCGGGGGTTCCGGCAGTGGAGGCGCCCCAAGTGGAGTGAGTGCCTGCTTTCCGGGTCACCACCGGACCGCCAGGTGGGCTGGTGTCTACTCTCATGTGATCAGAAGCCATCTACTTGTGACGTCAATCGAAGTCAGCTGTGCTGGTGTTTGGGGAGGTCAGCTGTGCGGTGCGCTGTTACGTGGTGCCAAGTATTGCATGAGACGGTAGGTATCAAACCAGTGGGGGGGCTGTTTTAGACTTAAACCCATTTCAGGGAGCGGAAGTCATAAAGAGCCCAGAGTTGAGACCTTCCTCCGGACTGTGAGGATAGGACTCCCCTTGAAGGAAAGTTCTGCCAAAATGGCCCTTCCAAAGAATCCTCCAAATCCTCCAACCAGCAGTGAAAGGATGTGAAAGGTCAACGCTGCTTCACTGACCATAGCCCAGACACTCCATGGGACATATATGCCGATCAGTTGGGGTGGTTTTGGGGGTCAATGTAGGCATATATGGCATACATGGAGTGTCTGGGTAGTGTTATATAGTTTTTATGTATTTAAAAAAGAATCACCTTTGAACTTGCGATTAGACAAGGCAAGCCTATGGGAGGGCATTGCAGCTCTCTTCTTGTCACAATTGGGTCAGTTGGCGCCTGGATTGCAACGAGCAGTGGCGACTGATGGGTTTGATGGGTTTCCAATTTGTGCGAATGCAGGGTCAGGCACACTTAATGTCGCATTTCATCATCGGTATGCAAACAAGTTATACAGGAAGATACACCAACCAACTGCTGGGTGAAATATTTGTTCATAATTTATCCTTGCAACCCAAACTTGAGTTTGCAGCTTGATCAGTTGCATTAGCCATCCAAAGTTTGCCTTTCAACTGCCCTTAGCAAGCCCCCAAATCTTGATGAATTGACGATCCACTCTAAGCAGTCCACCAATCCTCCGTACCCGGTGATTAAGAAAAGCTCATATTTGCAGATGTGTGTTCTTGCTACTGCAGATAAACTCGTATTTGTTTTGACACCAATTTCATGTGTGAATGGTTTGCCACTGATTCTAATGTCGGTGTTTTTCCTGTTCATCCTGTTGCTGTTCCTGAAGATGAAAGAAGTACGAAGAAACACCGTGCACGGGGCCTCAACCTCCATAGAGCCGAAAACAACATGCAATGCACACATGCAATGCACACAAGCAGTGGAGTACGCACACAGTCTCTACTAGAAGGCTTTTGCAGAATGTAGTTCCTCCAATCACCCCCAATTCGCATCCGTGACTTGCGAATTCGTCTCGTGACTTTACCACCACTCACAGTGGCGTCCCCGGCAGCCGGGGGTTTCTCCGCTGCAGGTGCTCCTCATCGCGGCGACGACGGTGCAGCTGCGGATGTACTCCTCTAGGCTTTTTGCCAAGTACTTGGACGTCTTCGTGGAAGAGAGCGAGGACCCGTGCCCCCAAAACGCCGAGGAGGAGTAAAGAGTGTTGTTATTTGTGCACTTGAGGGTCTCAAACACGCAAAACGTCATTGATGCCTCCCAAACTACTTCTATTACCTGAAGATGGAACATAACTCGCAGGTGCATTGTGATAAGCACCCCAAATGGTTTGTACATGTTTGTACATATCAACTGGGAATGCCACTTATGTCTTTCTCCAGGATGTGATTTTTGCTCGAGCTCAGTACCACGGCTGCAAGCGCGACCGCCACGGCTGCTCTTCTTGTGTTCGACTGATGGTGACCTGCCTGGTGGGGTGAGTTTGATCAAGTGAAGCTGGACGATTTCCATGACGAGTTTGATGGTGGGGTTGGTGGTTAAGGATTTGGCTCCGAACATCTTCCGTTTCCGTTCACATCGCGTCTAGACAATGGAGTCTCATTCGCATAGACAGCGAGACAGCCCGCGGGATCGGATGCAAGGTCACAGGCCCAGGGAATTTGAAGCTGCACAATGCACCCATGTGCAGTGCTGTGCTTGCTTCATCTTGCTTCCATCTACCAGTGAACCAAAGTTCACCTAAACACAATTCAAGCTACTCCCAGTTCCCAGAGCTTGCCACGACTTCTTGAGCTTTCGCGCTTTCGGAACCGCGGAAACCTCCAGCACAGCCTCGTCGACTTAAGGCGCTTCGCCACGGAGTTCTACTGCGGCGCCAAGCTGCAGGAGTTGGCCTCCCGGAACCGTGTCAAGGCGCAGCTTGACGCGCTTGATGCGCTTGACGCGTGCGGCACGTTTTGGAAAGCGAGCTGGGTGGTGGATGGTGTTGACCAGCTGGTGGATGGTGAGGGAACTCCAAATGATGCTCCATAGAAATTAAATGAACTCCGAAAGTCCATAGGAAATCCGGTGCAGGTAGACCAAATAAGTTCAGTGAACACACAGCAGTTGTTGTCCTATTGATCCTAATTCTTTTGAACAACAAGTTGTTTTTCAACTGTGAGATCCACAGATAGCCCAATGTTTGATGTTTGGTTCTTTCAGGAGGTGATTGCACGGCAAGTTCATAGAGTCTGAGAGATCCTTTTTGGATGCCCTGCCTCGGAGATCAACATGGAATATTGATGACAGATATACAGATGTACAATTTGGGATGTTTCTCCTGCGGGTGTTTCTCTAAAGAACCACACAAGAATCGTGTTCAAACCGCGCGGTTTGGTGAGGCGCTGGTGGAAAAGCTGGCGAGAACAAAAAAGAAGATCCAGGAGCCGAGCATGTTCACTTGTCTTGGAGCATTTTTGAGCTCTTCAAGAGGCCGAGAAAACATGGAAAACACATGAATAAACTGTTGAGCACCATTTGGCTTCTGTGTAGAGGCAAAAAGGACGGCGAATGCCTCCAAGAGTCTTTTCCAGATCAAAGGAGATAAGAAACATGTCAGGGACCAATCCACCAAGCATTAGGTGTCTTTGCCCAAAGGTTCTTGCACCTAAACTATAGGTACCCAAAACATCCCAAGTCTTCACATCCACTGAGAAGTCTCCCTCTCCAAACCCAGACCATCCATGGGACTGCAATAGTTACATACAGACGCCTCCCCCATCAATTACTGTATACCGCATACCCATCCATTTTTTGAGTTCTAACTCATCCGGAGTCTCTGGGTCCTTCCTTACCCGGTCGCTGACCCTCCAGCGCGCGGGCTGCCCGTGGGGGCGCGACTTCGCGGGGGGGGGGGGGGGGGTGGCGAGAAAGCCGCCAGTGAGAAAGCGGTTTCAGGACTTGCTGCGATACAACCAAGAGTTCATGGATAGCAGCTCAGCACAAACCTGGTCGAAAAGGACAACACGGATAACTTGCGTCGCGTGAAGGACCAACGCGTCCTTATAAGTGATCGAAGCGGTGAAATCCTCCGAGCGACGATCTGGGGGGGGGGGCGAATGCAAACGGGGGATTTCCGGAAGTGGGCCCCATATACAAGTGATTACAAGTGATACTGAGATCAGATCCTGAAACCTCAGCAAGATGTGAATCTTGCTGGTTAGGGGCATGAATGCCACTTCACTGGAAAAAAAGTCAGGATTTCCAATGCCATCATATTTTCTTCCTGTTTGCTGAGTCTTTCGGAGTGCATGGTCTCTTTATCGTCACTGTGAAGACATCTGAAGACCCTCCGACAATCATGGACATGCGCCGTTTGGCAGCTGGGAACACATCAAGACCACACTTCCTTGGTAAACAAGGAGTAAACTCCAGTTTCATGACTATTGGAAATAGCCGCGAGTCCTACAGAGAGAGTGTATGGAAGTCATATCATATCCACCTCCACAGTGCCTTTCCCGATGCCACGGATGAGTACTTGTGCATCTAATCTATGTAGCTGGGGCCTTTGGATGCAAATTCAATCAAAGCCTGACATAGCCGTGCAGCTTCCTCACACCCTGCAAAGCTTAGCGTTTGGCTTCAGGCAAATCCACTGGCCACTCCGCCGCCATCCTCAAACCAGCCTCTTGTCGCGGTCTAGAGGGAGATGTTGGTGGCTCCAGACAAGTCAAATCAGGCCATGCCAGCCGGTGCACACCAGCTGCAGGCCTCCATCCAAGGGGTCCAAGGGGTCATTTCATCTCTAAGACCCACGGAACCAGGACCCCTTCACTCGGCGCCAAACATCAGAAGGCCTCACTTGGAAGGCCGAAGGCCTGACCATCTAGAGACCCCATAACCACCCCCACTGTGAGCAAAGATGGCAGTCCCATGGAGCGTTTGGGATTGACCACATACGTATTATGACAACATTGAAGTTGTCTGCAACATCCTAACGAAGGGACGTGATGTTCATCTACTTTTCTCATGCCCAGAAGTGTTTGAGTGGTTTCCTGTTCTGAGACTGGTGGACGGCAAGTCTTCTTCCATTCTATGGTGGGAAATAGGATGAAATAGGTTTGTGTATATGAAAATCTATAGAGACACAAACAATCACAAACACTCCATGGACTATATACTCAGACCCTGGTTGGATGCATCGCCTACATTAACCCGAGCGAAGTCAACCACCCCAACTGATCGGCAAATAGGAGACCTGACCCCACGACCCCACCGGTCACTCGGTCGTCCGAATCGAGGCGAATAGCAAACAAGTCACCGAGATCTTGAAGTCACGTGGATTGAAGTGCGATGGCGAAGCGCAGGGGTCGAAGCGCAGACGTTAGACACCGAGACGTTCGACCAGAGCTTTGACCATGCTAGTATAATAAGAAACATTGGTTTTTGCCGTTTGGTGTTTCCTCAACAGATGTGTCGGATGGCGTGCAAGGATTGATTTTGGGATGATTTGACCATGTTGTCGATGCCTAGTAGATCGGATATCCGAATGCATCACCATGCATGATGTGCCAGTTGATCGCAGTTCCCACGGTATATCATCAGAAACATTCAGAAACTGTGGTTCTACAAGCGCGCATAGTCACATAGGCAAGCAAAGCACGCATCTTTTGCATCCTGTACACGACTGACAAAGACAAATAGAGGAGAAGTGACGATTGCCAGGTCTTATGATTTACAGTCATTTGGTGGTTGCCATGCCAAAACATGGGGGACATTGCCCAAACATTTGGACAACTCAGACCATCTGTGGTCGGTTTGCCTGATCTGCAGGAATGTGATATAATGACTTAATCAGCTTCCTCCAAAGTCACTTGACTTGGCGCAGACAATAGGTTACCCTTCCTGCAAATTAGAGGAGACATCATGTTCCAGATAATACAGAGACTCCTGTCAATGTTTCCATACATGACACCTACTGTTGAGGGATGACCTCCTGCATCACCTTTCGATTGTTAATATCGGAACATCTATTTGCAGGTTTGTAGATTCAATTGGTGGTGCAGCAGGAATTCTTGTTTGAGCACAAGTTTGTTCGGCCAGCAGAAAGACCGTTTGGCGGACCGTGGGTTTGAGTCGGGAATGCAGATGATTCCTCGCAGGCGACTTTTGAAGCCAGGTGTTTGACGACGAAAAGCATGCCACAAAAGTGGTCGAAAGTGCCAGACACGAAGACACTTTTGGAGAATCCTGTAAACAATAAACAGTTGAGGAAGAATCCTCTACATGATCTACGTGTCACCAGCTCTAACATGGTCCCCCTGTCCCCCATGCTGATCCATGCTTTGGGTGAAATTGCTCAGGTATGCTGGGGAGAAGAACCTGACGATTCTACCCCTCATGAAGGAGAAGAACTCGGCAGGTGCGGCTGATGCTGAGGGTCTGAGAGTCCGACATCGATGGGATGTCGGTCTGACAGTCTGACGTTGTCTGACAGTCTGACAGTAGGGCGAATACTCTCCCTGGAACGGCCCCATGGTTACGTGGATGGCACCACCTGTTTGCAGTGGAACATGGTCTTCCAAGGGGTCATTCTCCACTTCCATGTTAGTTCCAGGGAGTGTATATATCCATGCAAACATCCTCAGAATACCAAGCAAAAGACTATAATGCCTGTTTTCATGCAGGTGTGTGAGTCCAACTGGTGGACGTACTGACTTGGCTGAATGATTTGTGTTGCTTATGTTCAGATGCCGCTGTGCAGGCTACAGAGTCTTTACTTGCACCTATAAATATATCTCATTATAATACATTATACGAATTATTTATATTGTTTTGTCCTATAACTGGAATGCAGCAAATGTTTGTGTTGCCACGCATCATTCCCCCTTGTGCAGCAATATACATCTTCAAAATTATTGCGTTCAATCGCTTTGAGGCAATGGCTATCAATAAGTTAACGTGAGAGTGGGGTTAAACACATGAGAGTGGGGTCAAACTTGGCATGCACGAGAATAGTTGTAGGATGACTATCCATCTCCCCATTCTCGAGCCACTCTTGAATTCAAGTTGCGTCCTTTTCTTTATTGGGAAATGACTTGAGGATTGAGTTTGACCATCGAAACCGGTTGAAGAATCCCTCCATTTTAGGGGGTCATCCAATTTCTTCGCCAATGTCTCACATGTTCCTCAACCCAGTGGAGAAGCATTTTTTGAAGCTGGGTCTTCCCACTCAGTGGAACGAACACGTGGAACGTTCGTTCCAATCAGTCCGTGTTTCGGTCCGCTCCTCCAGAGGCTCGGGTGACCGACCGGTCGCGCAGACCGAGGCAAAGCAGTTTGGAATTCAGCCCTTGGCCAAGAGGGATGCCACCAGACCGGTGAGATTCTTCAAGGTTTTGAAGTGAAATGCTGGGTCCTAGTGGTCCAGGCATGTCCAGGCACATGTTTTCTGGGGTATCAATCCTATTGGCAGGCCTCGTTTCTTTTTCAGCTGGATGCCAATACTACAGGGAGTGATCTGGGATCGAACGGTCGGTTGCACATGGCATTTGGCGCCTGTGGAGCGCTTTTGCATCCTGTCGGATGCATTTTGGTATCCTACCGAGTGGTGTTCTGGATGTTCTTTTTCACACTCACTGATATGTGGATTATTGCAGCATTGCATCGTGTCTTGGAGCCAATGCCAAGCTCACTCGGCTTCAGCTCCCTGTTTGAGGCCTCCAGTCAGCAGCTTTCGGAGATACTGAAGCTCCTGGGACGGCGTGGCGTGGGTGGTGCAAAGCAAAGGGCCATGACACCTTCCATTCCATTCCATGTTTGTTTCACAAGCGCCTCATCATCAAGTGTACTCCTGCCAGCATATGGGTGTCAAGATGGAGGACCATTGGACCGCCATTTTTTTGCCAGTTACTGTAATGTTCAGTATAGGGCTTTGGGATACTTTGGGTATATTTGGCTTGGAGCTGTGACTGTGAGAATGAGGACTTCACTAATACGAATAGGTCCTTCTCACCTAGATTGTTCTTTGAGCTCACCAGAAGCTGTAACCA